CAACTTGATCTCCATGAGAATCTTTGCGTAAGCGTTTCCGCGTTTTTCAAAACATGTCATCCGTCAGCTGGAATCCTTTGTATGTGTATACTCCCAATCTCATATAACCCGTGCTGATCCCGCAACTTGCTTCTACAGCCAAGAGAAAGCAGTCAACCCAAGGCAGCATGCGCAGGAACTTTTGCCGTAGTCCTCCACCTCTCGCAGAAGCAAATCCCGCAAATCCAGCCGAAAAACCTTCGCGGAAGCAGCCACGGAAGGCGGAAGCAAAACAGACGACAAGCGCTACTTGCGGAAGGTACGCGGAAGGCCTTCGCGGAGGGCGTAGTTTCTGTAATGGAATTTAAAAAGAAAAAGACACCGCTCAGATGTCAATGTGAAAGTGGAAGCACATTTGTGCTAATGATTCCCGTGCGTACGCAGGTTTGGATTGGAAAGATCCGACTCCAGCTCCCTTGCGATGATGTATAACCTTTTCGGCCCTGAAGAAGATGAAACATACCATATAAGGGGGCTGCAGGCAGCAGCAGCTGAACAATATTTTACCTAAACTGTCCATGAATTAGAACCTGAGGCTCATCTCGAGAGCCACCAGGAGCTCGAGGTGGCAAATCGACTCAGTTGGGAAGTTCTCCACGTCTTGGGCTGCTCTTTGGGGTCTTTGTGCAAATGACGTTACGTTGTTGGGATCCAGGTCAATGGGGCCACAGTTACGGCGCTATCTTGAACGGGATTCGCTTGAGTCTTTTGATGGAAAGAGAAGCTGAACGAACCTGATCTCGCAGGTGGATAGTCCATCTTCAACCAACACAGGTCCCATCTGCTGGCTGCAAGTTTGCGATTGTGTCAGCCATGTCAACAGTAATAGTTCATGCAGATGAAAAGTGGACGGCAGGTGCAGTTTTCCGAAGGTTGCAGGCCGAAAAAGCATATCGCTTTATCGCGGGCTTCGCCAGAAAGCACAAGCCAAGTAGGGTTCCATCCCTTTGAAAGGTTCCGCCTGAGTTTGATGGCGCGCAGCAGAAGGTCTTCCAGGCAGAATGCTTGATGTCTGTGCGACTAGTGCAGACGTCGGACTTGCATGCATTTCGGCTGGAAGGCCGTCAGTGGCGATTACTCGCCATCATCCGCTCGTGCGCCTGGGCTAGGTCCAGTCTGAAGGTATGAAGTTATGATGTCACGCGGAACCCTTACCCTGGGTAGGCCCCTGAGATATTTAATATTTTCCCTAATGGCTTTACGTAATAGGGGACCCTATATACTAATATTTTTCAATGGGTTTTAGGGGCCAACCTAGTACCCTGAACCCTAACCTGAGCCCCTAACCCGCTAGACCTCAGCATACTGAGGATGAGCAGGCCCAGCAGCGCTGCTTGAAGGCCAGAAGTCGAAGATCCTCATGGGTACTTTTTTTTTTTTTGAGGGAGTTGTGGGGGGTTTAAGGTTTAGGGTTCAGGTTAAGGGCTTAGGGTTTTGGGGGGTTGCAGCTTTGTCAGGGTCTGTGTATGTGGTGAAAGGGCACTTGTCTGGGTTTGCAAGGCGGTCGTGTAGGGGCATGGTACAGGTATAGTGGAGGGGTAAAGTTCATGGGGATGATTTTCGGTGGAATCTTTGGGGAGTACTTTGCCCTTTCCTAGAAGATATCTTGTTTCCCAAAGAGACAAGCTCACCAGCTCACCAGGTTCAAACTTCTTGAGCAAGTTGATGGAGGATATCTTCTAGCATCCCAAGGTAGAAAAAGCCAATTAAACGCAAGCTCAGCAGATTCAGCTTCACGTCGACGACACCAAGACGTTCCCGGACCTTGACCCTCCCAGAACACACTTTCACTTTACTTTGTGACAAATTTCTTTGGGTTTTGCATGGCCTGTATCGTAATGCGCACCGAACTATCCCGAACATCATGGAGATGGTGAGTCCATTCTGTAGGTAGGCCTGTTCGAGCTTCCAGAGCCCACTTTGCTTTGATCCGCACTTGTGCGTTTGTCTCCACGGAGCCATTCGTTAATTTTCTAGCACCCGAGCTTTGCTAGTCAGAGCTGCTGCTACAGCTTAAGCTGTAGCTGTTCTCACTATCATTCTTTGCGAGCGCGAAGTTGCTGTCGATACTACGACTTGTACTGTCATGTCTAGGTCTTGAGTGTGGCAGAGAGGCTGCACATGGTCGAGGGAATGATACTCCCTGCCGCATGGTTTACCGTCCAGCGATTTGCGCAAGACTTCTTTTTTTAAAACCTCAGTTTCGGCATCACTTCAAGGGGGTCGAGGGGCCTAAAACGTGATCCATTTTTCCCCGTCTTGAAATGTTGCTACATGTAGGTTTTTTGGCTCTGTTTCGGACGCAAAGATAATTGAAGTGGAAAAGGATGTGCGAGTCACCGAATTCAGTCGTATCTACAGCACTTTGGTGCTTTGAAGGCCAAAAAGAACGCTTTCGGCAGGGACCGAGTTTTTTTAAGAATGTTTTTGCTGAGGTTCTTGAGGAGGGCACCTTTTTTTTGAACCTGTCACTGCCCGTGTTCTGACCCTGACAGCGCTACTGGTTGTTGCGTGCGTACTGCCACCACGCCTTATGGTAAACCTGCTCGATCTGCGAAGCTACAGATTTTGGAATGCTCTGTTTCAGCAGGCTCCAGAAACTGTCTACATCGCCTGTCTTGACTTGCAAAGCATGGCCTGCAGCTCGAACTGGTATGTTGAAGATGGCCGCAGCATGATGACATTCTTTATGACACAGCTTATAGGGTACCATCTAGCATGGTGTGTCAGCAAAATCGTACGCTTGCCTTTGGCATCGTACGGATCCACAGCTTGGACTAGTAGGGCGTAATTTGATTGGACTAATGAGGCGGCTATGAAATTAACTCAGAGTAAATCACAAGTTCTCGCACCGAATGGGGCGAAACCTAAACTAGTGGGGCGACTATGAACTGTAGTCAGAACTCCTCAGGCCCTTGGACTTGGGCGTAGCTTGGACTAGTGAGACGAAGCTTGGACTGCTCTGGTGTAGATTGGACTATGGGCATAGCTTGGACCCGAGAGGCGTAACTTGGATTAATGGGGCAAAGCTTGGATTGATGGGGCAAAGCTTGGAGTACAGGGCGATTATATATTTGATTCAGAACTTCTCACACCCTTGGACTAACAGGGTGCAGCTTGGACTAATGGGGCGAAGCTTGGACTAATGGGGCGTAGATTGGGCTATTGGGGCGAAGCCTGGACAACGGGCAAAAATGGCACTGTCATGGTTTGGGCATGGATGCTTCGGTTTTCGGATGCTGTCGAACATGGACGATAGTACGGTTTGGGCTGACATCCTAATATGGACGACATTGTGGCTTGGGCATGAATGCGCAGATCGTGGGATGCCCGCGAGCACAGATGATGTTACAACCTCCCTGATCCCGTGCCAGCAGAACGCCGCAAAACGTAGGACGGTAATCCATGCGCTATCCTATGATAGCGCACGCTTCCAGGAGATAGGCTAGAGAGCGGAATGATTTGGTCGCAGCAGGTCTGCGTGCAATCCTTCACTCGAGCCTTGCTTCAAGGTGTTAATGTTTGTGTTGCAGCCTCAGCTAGGGGACCGCTCGCGAGTGTGTCAAGCTTTGGATCACTGGATAATTCAATGAGACGTCTTGTTGTAAGCTGAAGTGTCAATGCAGCATGATTGCTGATGCGAATTCATGCCTTCTTGTATTCCTGGACGTTTTTTCTTCAGGTGCTGCTCGATGACAACCGTACCCGACTGGCAGAAGTCAGGAGCCTTTGGTATGACAGCGGACCGTGTCAATTGACTGGAGAAGCCAGAGCTATACCAAGTCCGTAGAAAGGCTTTGTATTTTGTTGGTTCGGCATCACATAGATTGCTGTGTGCCAGCCGCTCCTTTCATGGTAGCTGGTAGCGCTTGCACCTGTTGTGGCAGTTCCATGGCTGAGAATGCACCCAGGCCCGTCTGGATTCAGACATAACTCACCTCGTGCTGCATGTGCCGCATGCGCAGCATCCCGTGGCCCTGAAGTGCGCGACCAAGCAGCTACACAAACTCGGTGAAGTCAGAGCTGCAAAGGAACGCATCCATCCCTTGAGGTACATCGACAGCATATGCCCCCCAACCTCGACCTGGCCGACGCCGACCTTCGGGGAGGAGCACATAGTTTCCAATGTGCTTTTGTCCGTACGTCCGACCAGTAGTGAAGATGAACATGACAGGCCAAATGAAGATGAACAAGCAGCGATTTTGCATGTAGGATGCAGCCTTGCAGAGCCGGGCCACGCTGACGATGAGGGGCGGGCATTAGCCCCAGAAGTTCAATGCATGACCACTTGCAACTCACTAGTACCTATGGAAACCTCGATCGATGACCATGACCAGTTTCAAAAGGAACGTTTTTGTTTCTCAATGCTGCCAGCTGGGACCGGAGGGCCCGACAAGTGCCCGCATCCGTTCCACATCCATGAACCTGAACTTTGAGGCAATTCCTGACCTTTGTCTTCGACAGCCCGCGAGTTCTCAGACTGCATTAGATCGCTGAGCTTCCGCGACTGCTCTGCCCTTATAGGTGTTTTTGGCTGTTCTGCCGAGGTTAGAGAATACTTCGAGATGTGCCTCAAGGCAGGGAAAGATTTTCTGTCAGTCGATCTGCAGAGCCAAGCTTTCCTGAACATCTTGTTGCTCTGATGTTGACAGGTCCTCATCATCGCCAAAGGCGGAGAGAAGCCCTCTGAGGCCAACGAATACATCTTGGAGCGAGAGTCGAAAGAGTTGTGAGGGAATTGCAAGTTGGACTGCACTGCTTAGACTGGAGAGCCCTGGTCACACACTCTAATGGCCTGCCGTCTATTCAATCCGACAGCCCTGCCTGGCAAGTCATGTTCTCTGACGGGTGAAGCTGCAAAGCCTTCGTGGCGTCAGTTGTAGACCATGAGGCATGTTACGGCCTTCAGAAATCGTTGCTGTTTCCCCTGATCCCAGATTTTTGACTCGTTCTGCTAATGCATTCCAAGTGCATCGCGGGAAGAAATGTAGCAAGCTGCGTTTCGCATCCGGTTCCCCCTCATAGTTCAAAACGCGGTGGTGAAATGCCAGGTCAGCAGCTTGAAAGAACAGTGCATGAGACATATACCCTACTACAATGTAGTAGTTTCCATTTCTTTTCCATCACCCCTAATTATACATACTCAATATATTCCCAATCATGAGATCATTTCAGCGCAGGATGCTTCAGGCAGCGAAATCCTTGCCGCTTCACTCGACAAGGACTCCAAGGCGATCTAAGCAGCCAGAGCTGCATTTGACAGCGCCAACGACTGTTCCATGATGTTCCACGCTTGCCCACATCCAATTTTCGACAGAGATGCACCGATGCACCCCTGCGATTTTTTTTCTTGAGATGACTGAAGCGGTTTGTGTATGTTCCATGACATAGCTTGCTCAGCAACTGTATCGTGGAGACTGTCTCTGCATTAAGCTTCCCAAGGACAGGACAGAATTGCTTTCTGCTGTTTCCCCTTGTGACCTTGGCTCCTTGTGGTCCTGATGGAAGCATTGGGTTTGATTGGGCATCAAGACTTTGCCAAAGGCCCGTTAGGGTGCATGCTGAAGCGATGAGGATATGGTTTTCACTGAATCTTTTGTCTCTGTTCATGTTTCTGCTATCACTTCCTTCTGTCATTGCCAGGATCGCTCGCAGACATCCTACAATTATTTGCAGGTTGAAGATTCGAGCTTGATCCGGTGGTAGTCCGTTGGTAGTTTGAAAAGCAGGGTCTGACATAAAAGCAATTTGGAATTAAGATTCCACAGCATCCCACCTCGGGGGCTGTTAAACGCGTCAAACAGTCCCACCAACGGAACTCATCCATGGCAGGTGGAAATTTCCTCTTGCTGAGAGAGCATTTCGCTGGTTGCTGTTAACGCACGAGTGAAAATGAGATGAGGGCGGCGCCTGATTTGTTTCGAGAGAGTACCACATCCATACCACTGCAGCTTACACGATGACCCATGGCTTGTCAGCTTGAGTCCAATTACAGGTAAGAAGCGGAGAAGGTTAAGAAGGTTCGCTTACCTGAGGAGCGAGAAACTTCCATGTTTGTCTGTCCCCCATCTGCTTGGCTTGGCCCGACAATTAGTGCAGGACGGATCTTAGTATTCGATTACCTTTCCCTACATGAGTTTTCCAAACAGAACAGCAGGCAATCTCCCCATCTTCAACATGAAGATTGTATCAAGTGCTTCTGTTTGTTCTCGAAGCCCAGCGTATCGGCTTACACAGTAGACGGCGTCATGCCAAGTCTGGCCATCGTGCCTTGCCAAAGCTGCTGGGCACGTGGGAGTTCGTTGCAGGCTGTGTTTGCAGCATGGGCTTTGATCGCAAGGCCCAGCTTTCAAAGGCTCGCCTGCCTCCACGACCATGGCATTTGGTGGGCTGCGTGCTAAGCGGTATGTTCGCAGCGTCTAGCTTTATCGGCTTGACCATTGACCAGAGGAATTCTAGGCAAGCTGTTGTCAGAGGCGTGACCACAGTATCGCTGCAGAGTGCAACTAAAAGCCTTGTTCAAGCTCCAGCCAACCTGACTTCCAGAGAGAAGATCGAATGGGCATTATGGACGGCATGGCACGCAATGGGAAACCCTCGTCCTGGATCCAAAGAGGTCAAGGCTGCTTTGCAGCAAACATCACTTGATTCAGCCTTGAAGTTGAAGTGTATACAGATGACCAGGGTCTCCAAGCCCTTCAGAATCTTCTGTCAGTAGTCTTGAAAAGGGTAATAAGTAATAAGCGGTCGTCAAGTACTGCAGCAGTTGCACCCATGTCACTCAAGGAGTGCATTGCTTTCTTCCGTGCGTGTCAGCGCCAGCTTGGCCACAAAAAGCTTCTGGTGGATGCTGCTGGGGGACATGGTGGCATTGCGTGCGTCTTTCGAGCACATAGACGAGCTGATCGTGCTGCTTGGCAGGGACCAGCAAATTGTCTCAAAACTTTTTGGCAGTCATTCTGGGTAGCGTTTCATGTAGTCTTTTTGTGACCGAGGCTGTTGTAGTGGACCTCTATCAACCAACAAGCTTTAACAATTTGCGCTCAGCCTGGACAGAATCTGATGAGTCGGTGAAATACCACATTGCTGACGTCTCCAGCCCGGGCTGGTTGGCATCCCTTCTGGACAAAGAAGCCAGCAATCTGGAGCCAAGTGAGATTGGAGTGGTCTCCTGCCATGCATGCAGCTTACTGTCTGACGAGCTGATCCGTGCCTGCACTGGAAGTGGCGTGGACTTTGCTCTTATGCCGTGTTGCCATGGTGAAGATAGCAGGAAAGGCAAGATGATGCTGAACACAGCCAAGATGCTTGGGATCCCACATGATGTCTTAATCGACATTGCCCGTCTTGGAATTATTGAGGCGAGTCCTGGGTACAAGGGATCAATGAGAAGTATTGATTCCAGCATCACCCCGCAGAACCGGGTTCTTCTCGGCCTCCGGGAGTCAGAAGCAGATGCCGAGAAGCGTGAAACCGCACGCTCTGCATCATTGCATCGCTTGGCCAGGAAATATCGTCACATCGGCATCCCGCTTGGAAAAGACATCTTGAGAGATCAGCGGCCTGCAAAGACCCTCTTAATGTGTTCTTGCAAGTACTGTCCTGAATGCCCACACCTACTTGCCCAGCATAGGATCACGTAGTGGGAGACCTGGCGGCCCATCATGCAGATCAACTGCTTTTGGCTTACAGTGCTGCCATGTAATGGACCAGGAAACATGTCCGCCCCAACCACACGCTCTGCCATGTGCGTAGTGTGGAAATCGAGGCCGAGGCACAAGTTGGGTGGCAACAAAGTACTCATGGCTGCTGCCGTTCAACCCGTCGAGCAATTCCTCTCACCCCGGTTTTTCTTTTCCCAACTCCGTAGGCGGCGACAGAGTCTGGAATGGCTGTAGATGCCGGGTTCACGGTGACTTGGCTGCAGTTGCGCAGTTGTGATTTTTGCAGCCACTCGTGCATGTCTGCCAAGTTCATCAGGAATATCTGTTCTGGCCCCAACTCCTTTTAACTGCCCTGCTGCAATGCTTACTGCCCCGCTGCAATGTTCAGAGGTGCCCCCAAATCAAGACTAAACAACCACATGTGGGCAGACCCGACCCTTCTGGTCGGCCCCCAAAACACCCAACCAAGCACAACACAACATGTCCTGCAAGAACCAGCGGCTACCCGCCAACTTCTAGGAATTCTCAGCAAGTTGAATGTGTTGCGCAGGCGCGACAGGCATCGGATTCCGGGGAGGAGCTTTTGAAGGCAGTTGCCGGCATGGATGTTTGCAAGCGTGGTTATCCAGGAGGATCCGCCTGATGATGAGTACGAGCATAAGCGGATTGGCGTGCCAAAAGTGTTCGGGCCCTGAAGGCCTCTTGTACTGGCGTCCATGGAATCGAATCCTGACAGGCCGGACAGTACCGCCTTCACACAACCGCACAGAGCTGCCCGCTTAGTTGCTCTCGGCCAGCCAAGAAGCATTGCATAGGTTCATCTCTGATTGCTTCGATTCGTCGATGGCTCGTTTGTTCTGTCGAGGCGAATGCCTCTGCCTGGCCACGCCCTCATAACTCAATATTTCAAGCAAAGGGCAGTGTGAGAAGCAGCTTGTGATGGCAGGAGCTGGGCAGAGTACTTGTTTGTGCCCCCCTTTGAGGCATGTACAAGTGACTACAAGTGGGCGAGTTGCAGACCCTTCCTTGGGCTAGGGGGCCTTTGTCCCATCTTTTTTGTTGTGGCATTCTGGCAGTTTGGAGCAAGCTGCGCCGATGTCAAAGAGCCGTTCTGTGCCAGAGCCGCAGCACTGGGAAAACCGGCTTAGCCGGCAGCATTCCAGCATTGCACTATATTCCACTCTTGGGGACTGCGTGGGCGCGAGCAAAGGTGTTGCCATCGAGCGTGCCTTCGACTAGGAATGGCAGGGAAGCTTACTTGCCAATTGAGGTTCTTCAAGAACAGGCGCATCCTCTGCATTCTCTGCAAGGTCATGCCGCGACAGGAGCCTGGGGGGCTCCTTGTCTCAGACATTTTGCAGGCCAGCTGAGTCCAGCTTCCGTGAAGCGTGTTCACAGGCGCCGCTGCCGGCAGTGGCCTTCGAAGGCACATCCTAAAGTCCCGAAGAGTGCTTGAACTGCACCGCGGATTTCCGAAAATTGTTGGCTTTCTTTTTGCCTGTCTTCTATGGCTATATGAATCACATTTGGCGGGGGAAGCTCCAGGAAGATAAGTGTGGTCTCACCACTTGAAGCTGCAGGGCCGGCAGACCTGCCGAAGTCGGAAGCCATTGCCCAGCCTTCAGTCGTGTTCCAGCTATTCAGCAGAAACCCCTTCAGGGGAATTGCCAGGAACGGGTTCCTTCAAACATGAATCTGGCTGACCCACTAGTAAGCATTGTTCTGCCGTAATTCGAGAGGGATACTGGGTGCAATGCATGAGGCAATCCTGCCGCTCAAGAGGCCTAAGAGGCTGGGCTCAAAGCAGTATTACCATTGTTGTCTGTATGATCATCTTTCTTACTATTCTGATGCATTTGAGTCATCCACAGAAGCAGGACGTCCAGAATGCAGGAAAATCCTGCACCGTCTCAGGCTGGACCAGACATAGGTCTTTTATGAGCCACCAAGTTTCCTTCTACCAATGATTCCTGTCTGCTGATCTGCGTCTGGCCCACTGTTGAATTGGCTCAGGCGTTGTCCGCATGAACGTACGCAGCAATATGCAGCAATCCATCTTGGGTGTCTGCTTGACAAACCTTATATGAGCAAGCAACAAACTGAGCAGGGAACAGACTGAGCAAGAGGGAAGGGTTTGATGGCTACTCGTTGGCTCTCATGGCTTCTGATCCTGCTCGGTGGCTCTTTTAGCTTTGTGGGAAACTGGACTACGACCGTCCGGAAGACTGCTCAAAGGGCAGCTGGAACGCAGCAATCCTTATTGTCGCCGCCATCCGTGCCTACCCAAGCTGCAGACAAAGTTGAGTAGAAGTAGCAAATAACGCTTAGTTTCTGAGAGACTCTCTGAGGCATTGCAGAACTTCTCACGTTCTAGCGAGGAATATCGGCCATTTGACTGTGTTTGATGGTTGAGGTGCCCTCGGAAGTGCGCTGGGATCTTTGGCCAGCACTACCCATCGCGCCTTACGAGCGTCGGCGCACTATTTTGGTCGAGTACATCCCAGGAGAGCTTTGGGGATTGGAGCAGAAGATAGGCCTGCTCTACGTACATGTACCGATTCGTATGACAGTCCTTCGCTTAGAGTCGGGGGGGCTCCTGGTATACGGGGCTGTGGCGCCCACGGACGAGTGCATGTCCCTGCTCCGTGAGCTGGAGTCCAAGTACGGGGCAGTCCGCTACCTGGTGCTAGCAACCGTGGCTGTGGAACACAAAACCTTTGCAGGGCCTTTGGCACAGCGCCTGAATGACGCAGAAGTGTGGATTGCTCCTGGCCAGTATTCGGTTCCCTTTCCATTGCCCCTGGCTTTCTTGGGCTTCCCTCTCTTCCGGGTGCGCGAACTGCCGCGGGACAGCGAGGGGGCCGATCTTCCTTGGGGCAAGGAGCTTGAGCACTTGGCCGCGGCCTTGGTTGACGAAATGATGCGAGCGCTAGCATGATGGATGATGATTGTAATGGGTCAACAGTCGCAAAGATTCATGACGGAAAGGATGGCCTTCATGAATTCGAGCATGAATTCTGAATCAAATTTGTCTTCAGGTGCTGGGCCCAGTTGGGAAAGACCCCTCCACAGGCGCCTTCTGCGAGGCGGCCTTCTACGTTCCCCGTCTGAGGCTGCTCTTGTTGACAGATTTGTTGATCTCGATTCCCAGGGAGGTGCCAGCGGTGCTCCGCGAGGATCCAAGGCCGCTGCTCTTCCACGCCCGCGACGGCCCCTTGGAGCCCGTGGAAACCGACGAGCGGGCGCTGCAACGAGGCTGGCAGCGCATCGTGATCTTCTCCCTCTTTTTCCAGTCCGGTGCCATCGATGTCCAGTCAGTGGACCAGGCATTCAGCGATGCCAAGAAGTCTCAGGCACCAGAGTTGGGATGGGCAGGCTTGTTGCCATGGAATTACCGGAATGATTGGCAAGAAGCATTTGAAGCTGTGAGCGGCGGGGTGCTTGTCCCTCCCATTCTACAAGCGCTTGTCCTCAATAGGGGAGAGCGCGACACCAAGCAGTTGCGGGAATTCGTAGACCAGGTTGCTTCCCGGTGGCCATTCGAGAGGATGCTCTCCTTGCACTTTGATGGGCTCACAGGGTGCTCTCCTGGAGACTGGACTTCAGCTTTCCGCCGCTTCTTGGATGAGCCAACGTTGCCTTTTGGCACTCTGGGCCCTCGGCCGCGGGATAAGGCACCTCAGCTTGATTTTTTCTGGTCGCGCCAGCGACATTCGGAGCTTCTCCTGACTTCAGCAGGGTCTTAGTAAGGAGTTCTACTGTTTCCCATGACATGGCTAATTATTGGTAGTGTCCAGGACCTCGAATTTCTCCGCGGGTTTGGCGAGCAGCTCCAATCCAGCGGAATCATCGAGCCCTTGTCAAAGAAACGCCAGACCTTTGTCTAGGATTCCCGGAGGAATCGAAGGAATGGCTGCCGCACCGCTGGCGGGCAACACCGAGGATGCCATACCACATTATGCTATGTAATTGCGGTGCCGCCTTCGATGCCTCTCCTCGTAGCTTGCTTAGTTTCATGAACGAAGATGATTTTCCAGCATGAGTTTTCCGCGTGATCCGAAAGCTTGGCAGAACACCCGGACGCCAGCCCTCACCAGCTTCCAGTTGCTCCAAAACCCATTTCTGTAGGGCAACAAGCAAGCGATTTGCCAAGTCAAAGCGTGGCGAAGGGTCCGCCAATTTTCAGTACCAAGGAGGCTTCACGACTTGCCCACACTGGAGAAGGGTTGTGGCTTTTTGCTGGAAACAGTTGACAGCCCTTTGACTCCGGCACATTCATTGTGTCGGTGTGTGGATGGGACTTTGAAGGTACTCAGTGCCAATTCATGCTTGCGCTGGATGACCCCAGGCTTTCCTGTGCTAAGCATGGTTAGCCAAAGACAACCAACGAAAGCGAGCAATCAAAGCACTGAAGCACAGGGGCTCTCTGTGTCTGCATGCCACAATTATTCAGACTTGGATTGCTGCTTCTAAATTTTTGTGCTTTGAGGCCGATGCGACTGCTCCACCACAGCAGGCTCACTGCTGCAGTGCTGGCCATCTCTTGATTGATGTCCTGCCGAAGGCTTCAAGCGGACAGCGGCCGAAGCAGGCTTCACTCCTCCAGACAGGCGTAAGCCTCCGCAATACCGCGAGTCCCCTAAGGCCGACTGTCCTGGCAACCAGCGGACTCTGAAGTTCTACCCGTCCGCGCCCCAGTGGATGTGAAGCGGCGAGCCAGACAAAATGGACGGATAGTATGTGCGGACATGGGGCCAGCACCTATGGACTGAATTTTTCCAGCTATCAGTAACTGAGGCAGCCCAATGACGATCGCTCAGCCAACTCGGCCTGGATCCTTCTTGCCAGACAACTCTTACTCCGAATTCCCGGATCCCATAGAAGCCCTCAGTGTTTGCCCTCAAAGTGTATGGAATTCGGATCTGGAGGGCGTCTGGCCTATGCCTTGCCATTATGCCATTCCTTTGACTACAATCTTCCCGTGACTACACAGGTCGATGTCATCGAGCATGGCTTTGAAGTGCGACGCTTCTTTGGTCCAGGCGGCTGCAGAAGCTCTGGGCAATGTGCAGCAGCGTTGAGGTACTCATTGTTCGACGGGCGCCATCTCCAACCCCAAGGCCGAAGCTAAGCACCAGCTTTGTTAGTGGAAATGCTTCAGATAGGGGACGGATGCGCCAAGATAATATCCAGGGGCTTGTGCCCCCAGATTTAGATTCATACAGTTTTAATTTTCGGTGATCTGGGCATGGGCTGCAG